GACAATAGAGCCCAATAGCTTTATATAAATGACCATCTTAATATAAAATTGTTATAATTTCACTTTCCCTGTGTAATTTTGTGTGCTATAACAATAAAAACAAAGAAGTGGTTTCCTAAGGAGACTTACTATCACAATGATGAGCTTCTTTTTCTGCTCCTTTACCCCGCCCTTGCCTCAGTTGCTACATCTTTGGTTATGCCTAGTGTCATTTTCTCTTAGTCTCTCTGGAGATTTTCTTAAAGCCTAGAGAACTTTAAACAGTTAGCAACAATTTTTTCTGAGTTTATTCAATATATTGGCACCTGTTTCTTCTCCCTACTTTTCCCTTCTTACTGTCATTGCTATTGTGACTCATTTCATATTTATTTTAACCTTATATATAATAAATTCAGACTTTTATACAATGCACTATAATTTACATGCTGTCATGCTGGATCTATGAATGAATGTACACAAGCAAGCATTGCCTGTGGACAATAAATGCTTTTCATAAATGCATAGATACACATCGATTGGTGCACTATGGAAATGCCCTCCATTTACAAATATTTGTCATTTATCCAGGTGTCTTAAGAAGTAAACTTTAAGAGGGCTATAAATTTTATTACATAGAATATCAATGTATCTCGATATCTAAAGTATTTATGTCTTCTAATTAGTATTAATTAAGGTTAATAATGCAAAGGTCTTATTTAAGTACTTGTATTTACATTATTTATTTGCTATTCTACTTACACATCATTAACTATATCCAGGAGAATCTTTGATGAATAATTAGACAACACAAACAGAACCAACCAAATTTTTCAAGTCAATAGTTCTGTTATTAAATTTAGCTGATTAAATTCTCTTAGATATTCTATACTGTCTATGTAAGTATAATATTTTGAATTTCATCTCCAGCATTTCAAACACCAGATAGACAAATTTAATGACCTCACTAAGCGAAACCCTCTCATGATTCATAAATCTATCAAATTAAACAATGCTCAATTCTCTTAAATATTAACAGATTTATAATTGGATCCTTCTTATTTTTAAGAAGTATATTTATTATTAAAATATCTTAAGCATATAAAAGATAGGAGCAATAATACCAGAAATCCTTAAGTTGCCTTTACCAACTTCAGCAATTATAAACATATGCTCAATCACAATAGTCCCTCTTCTTATATTACTCTGAAACTAATATCAAATATCATAGTTTCATTCATAACTATGTCAGTAGTTATTTCTCAAAAACAGACTTCATATGTTAATATAAAATATCAAATCAGTGTTGAAATTTCCAGTTGTATATGACAGTATGCGTGTGTATGAATTTCGCTTAAACATGAAACCAAAGTCTATGGACATCTTTGTTCGATTATAATTCTCTTTAAGCTGTTTACCTTTTATCTTTTTTCTTTCAATTTAAAGAAGTTAAGTTAGTCTTTTCTCACTGCTTCTCTATGGTAACTTTACTGTTCTTCTCTGTATTGTGTTTCCTATAGATTTAGTAGATGCATGTGGATGTGATAGATCAAATTTTGTTCTTTTTTGCTATTATCTAGTTTCATTTGGGGTTTCTGGTAAGATTCATTGTCTTACTTTCCTCGGAGGTGTGACATAGTACTCCAATAAACAAATTAAAAGAGGAAAGGTGTATTTTAGTTCAGTTTGTAAAGGGTTTAGTCTGTAGTTGCCTGGCTCCAAGGTACAACACGAAGGCAGGGAAGACTCACTGAATTACACAATGTTCTGACATGACCAGTTTAATAAATTAATTCAATGTTTCTTTACATTTAACCTAAAGAGAAAGCTTAAGTTTCAACTTTCAATTTCTTTAAAAAATGAGTTTGTTCAGCAAACTAACCACCTACTTAGGCAAGCACAGGGGCCGGGGTTCAATCCCCAGCACTACATGCTTTGCTGGCCCTGCCCCCAGGTACACTGAGCCAGTCACCAAGACTGGGCATGGTAGCACATGGCTGTAATTCCAGCAACTGGGGAGGCTGAGACAGGAGGATCACTACGAATTTAAGCTGCGTAGTGAAACCCTATACCAAATACATTTAAAAAAAGTTTGTTGGAGTCACAGTTGATCATTATAGTTATATGTTTGCCATCTCAAGTAAAGACAGACAGATATATCCATCTCAATTCTTTGTAACCCATACTACAAAAATAGGCATAGGAGGAATTAGTTGTTCTGGTGATCAGCAACATAGTACAGTAACTATAATCTCTAGTATTCTTTATTATAGTTCAAAATACCTAGAAGAGTCCAAAGGCTCACAACACATAGAAATAACTGTTTTTGAGTACTAGAAATATTAAATTATTTTGATTTGAACATTATATTGTATATGTACATCAAATTATCATATTATGTTCCATAATTATATACAAACATTTTGTGTCAAAAAATTACTCACTGATGAACAAATAAATTAATCGCCAAAGGCCACATATTATATGATTTTATGTTTTAGAAAATGTCCTCAAAAGGCAAATACTCAGCGACAGCATGACAATTAATGGTTGCCAGAAGTGGGGGAAGTAGGGTTGGGAAGTGACTTCTTAATGGGTATGGAGTTTCCATTGGAGGTGATGAAAATATTTTGGAACTAGATGTTGGTAACAGTTGGACAACAATAATTATGCTGTATGTCACTGAGTTATGCTCTTTAAAATAGCTACAATGATAAATCTATTAAGTAAAATTAGACAAAAACAAAGACCTGTTAGATTTGAATTATGGCCAGAAGAACAAGACAGGTTCATGAAAGTGTTGAAATGCACCTCTCAGGGAGAAAGACAAGCAGATATCAAGTCATCTTTTTCTTATACAATTTCACACCCTGTCTTTATATCCCTACATTTCCAAAAGAAGAAAAATAGTATCTGTGAAAAAAGAAAAAGTGTCCTAAACCATATATGTACCCAGTGAGCTCTTTTTACAAAAAGATCAAAGTGATAAGAAGGTATTTCCAGAACACACTCTTCAAATGGACAGAATTCGTTTTTCAACAAGGGTCCAACACTCTTTCCTAGTTTTAAAGGCAGTTTGTGTAATGATTCTGAGATTCATATGATTACATTTTTGTGATAGAAAGATCATGTTAGCAAATTTTGCAGAAAGGACTGCTGTCAGGATGAGGAAGAGGGAGGGAGAGAGAGAGACAGAGATATATATATAGAGAGAGGAAAACAAGCAGGCCTTGGCTGCAAGTTTTAACAAGGAAGTTACCAACATTAAAATAACATGGGAATGCATGAAATCATTCAGAAACAACTATTGAGTGAGGTAAGAAAAGAAAGCCAAGACCAGAACACAAAGGTAAAGACATATCATCACCAAGAGAGGAAGTTAAAGGAAAATAAACTCACAAAGGAAATTGTGGGCTAGTAGCCAGAGAGACAAGATGTTAGGAGATGTTTCGTGTAGAAACAAAGGAGGCTGTAAAAGGGTGAAAAATCAAACAATGTCGAGGGCTACAAAGCAATGAACTAAGAGGTGGGCTGAGAGGTGTCTGGTGGATTTGGCAACTACAATTTTTAGGAGCAGTTTTATGAAGACAAACAGTAGTTAGTGAAGAAAGGACCAGGAGGAGCGGAAAGAGCAAACATGAACACACTGTTCTTCTCAGCTGCAGAAAGGAGGATCATCTTGTAATGACAGCAATTCAGAAAAGCAGCAACTGTTTGCCTGGTATAGAGGACAGTAAACTGAGCTGAGAGAGAAAAAAAAATGAGGTATTTAGGAGCAAGGCCAGAAGCAAGAAGAACAATAGAAATAACAGGATAGTACAATTTAAGAAAACATTCTGAAGGACCCAAATTACTGAGAATTCAGATGTAATTCAGAAGACAAATGGAAAGAACTTGGCAGAGAGAAAATAAGGATAACTATGGCTTCAGATAAATTTATGGGCTAGCATAAGAAAATACATTTTCTTAAAGAAATTCATATCCAATTACGGCTGTTTTATTGAAATTGAAAACAACAGGGTAATCGATATATAGGGGAAAGGACAGGGACAGAAGATTTGAGGAAAGTGGCGAAAGTTTTGAATAGGTATTGAGGCAGAGAAAGGTAAGTAGGAAAAGAGCAATAGAGACCACAGCATAATGAGGGTGGAGTAGAAATTACCAATAATTTTTAATGTCCAAAGTCTGTAAAATTGAAGGGCCTGGCCAGATAGCTCAGCAGACTAAAGCTCCTGCTTACAGAGCACAGTGGCCAGGGTTTGATCCCCAGCATGCTGTGCTGGTCCAGTCCCTGGGGTACACTGAGATGGCAATTGAGACTGGGCATGGTGACACAACCCTGTAATCCCAACACTTGGGAGGCTGAAAACAGGAGGATCACTGTGAGTCCAATCTGTGTAGTGAGACCCTATAGTCCCTGTACTAAATACATTTTTATAAAAGGTCAGTAAAATTGGTGATTATCTTAGCTAAATTAGTTAATATGAATAAGATTAGAAAACATACGTGGTTACATAAGTCATTAAGAACTTCTGGGATCCAAGCATTGTAAGAACAGTTGGCGTTAAGTGGTTGAGAACAAAGCACCTTGGAATCCGAGCCACTAAGTGATGGAAGTGAAGGCAGATGGAAAACATCTGCAGAAGAATGAGGAGTGGGGGACGGAGCAAACTCCACTTGGTGTGTTTGCCATAGGACCACTCAAATGCCTTTACAATCTGGGACTGCACAATCCAGTTACTGTAAATTTAATGGCAACCATATGACTCCCTTGAAGCCATGAATTCATTCTACACATCCACTGTGAGCTCACAGGGCTGTGCACTAGCTTCTCAAGTCTCCATTTTTTTTGCTACGTTGGCAGGACAAATATAGGGCTGAAGCCAATTCTACATGTGAAGTTGGAAATCTTAGCAAATATCAAAGAGAAAAAAATAATTCAAACGATCACCTTTTTCCCTTCTGGATTGTAAAGTGGGCATTAACTTGCTCTAATTTTGCATTTTCCTCGTTCTTATTTTTAGAAGCAATATAAATGAAGAAAGTCAGGATGGCATCATGCACGCTGAAGGTAAGGGGCAAAAACATTTTATTTGTGACCTTAATCACAGAAAGGAATGAGTATAAAAGTTTAACCTATTTGTGGTTACTCATAAACTTTGTTCTCATAAGCCAATGTCCCTGCCTTACATAAAGAAATAAAATGTACCTTATTTGTCACCTTTTGTATTTTATGAACATCAGTAAAATGATTTTATGATTCAATTGTAAGTATCAAAAGTGCCATAGTGGGGCTGGGGAGATGGCTCAGTGGAATAAGTGCTTCCCTGGCAAGCACGAGGGCCTGAGTTCAATCCCCGGTTCTGCCAAAAAAAAAAAAAAAAGTGCCATAGTAAGTATCTTAGATATACATTCTAATTTGTACTTAGGTATCTTTGATAAAGCATTAGTTCTATTAACTTATTAACTGTTTAAAATATTGTCATTATATCCAATAATCATGTGTTGAAGTTCTTAATTACAGTATATTTTTTAATCCATAGGTACTGGAATTCTAGAGGAGGTCAGTTTTTTAAGTTTTTCTTCTCATATGATACTGCTATATTTAAAATACTTAAAAATTAATGTGATTCACTTCCTATGGGCATGAGCCAAACATAAAATTTTAATGAGTAATGATGGTATTTTTCCATTTGTAATCTTATTTCATCTACAATGCTTCAGACATTACACACCAGTCAGCACACTGACTCATAGGAATGTTGTAGTGCTGATCATAAACTCATGTCTGCCTTGTGTCATTTGAGTGATACAAGAGAGAAAACTAAATATTTTTGTACTTGATTCCTTCATCTGTTTCCTAGGACAAAAAACTAATTTTTTACACAATCAAAAATGACTTATACTTAAATTACATAAATTCAAAAATATTTGTTTTATAAATATTTATTAATGAAGGCTGTATATGTTGCCTTTTCAATAACAGAAATTAATCTTTGTCTATGTTTTCCTTCGCAGGAGCAAGAGAGTGAAGGAGAAACGTATGAAGACATGTATGAATTATGTTCTTTTTTACCATAATAATTTTTTTCTAAATTGAATATAGCATTTGGTTAAGGAGGAGCATGAGTACACACCACTGTTATGCCGGGAAAGCTTTACCTGTTCAAATGACTAGCATGAAAGAATAACCTCTGTTTGCATACAAAGGACTAAAGGTTCTTTACTTCTCTAAGGATCTAGAGTACTCTGCTAACGAACTGTTGTGTGTGAGGCCCAAGACCTACGCACTACTAGAGAGACCACAGGCAGGAATCTAGACATAGAAATTTGTATGTCTTTTTTTCAGTGTACTGTGGAGAAAATGGATTCCTATATTTGTACTGCCTTCTGCACTCAAGCAAAGGAAAGGCTCTGGGAAGTAGCTTAAAACAACACTCAAACTTCCAGTTTGCTGAAAAGATTTTAAAAACTATCTACCAAAAATATCTCCAAAATGGATTTTTAGGTGGCCTAAGATATTTCTTGACATGTGAATGAAAGTAGAGATGAACATTTCTACTGAAATCTACCTGATTTAAAATCAAATTTTGAAATCCCATGTCTTGATTTTCTCTACCCAATTTTTATTCAAGCCATTCTGACCAAAATTACTTAACCAAGGTTAGCCTGTGTGACTGTAAGCACACACTTGTTGTGCCCAGGAGGAGAAAGAAATTAATAATTGTATTTACAGCAGCACACAAGGACAAACCTTTCTGACTGGGTGTTGCACTTGGTGGTCCAAGGTGTAAAGGCCAGGAGAGCCCTTGCAGAGAGCCCTCATCTTCGTTCCTCTTAATGAAGGAGGCTTTAAAAATGATCTTACATACCCAGGATGGTCTTACCCTCCTGTAAACTTCAGAGGCCGTGTTTGGTGATGGTTGCCACTTCTGTGGTGGCTGTCAGCCCTGCAGGTACAGAAACGACCTCAGTATTTGTATTTACAGAGAAGCCTCCAAAGAGCGAGACAAGAAACGGGAAAAGGAAGAAAAGAAGAGATTAGAGCTAGAAAGAAAGGAACAGAAAGAAAAAGAGAAGAAAGAACAAGAGCTAAAGAAAAAATTTAAAGTAAGCACTTCCTGCCTGATAGGTGAAACCCCAACATCTTTTTGCGCCTTTCTCTGGAGAGGCGTGCTGGTCTTGAAAACTTGTGTAGATGGGGAATTAATTACAGTTTTCAAAACAGGATCTATCTTCCTAACAGTATTTTTGTTGTCCAATATACTACCTTATGCCTGCACTAAAAATTGTAATATGATAAAATCCCGATAAAATATAATTTAGAGGCTTGTTTTCAGTGAGTATCCAGGGAATTTTATGTTCACCGAGTCAATGAATAGTCCATTACTCAAAACTCAGCTTGATTCTCATTTTCACATGATTCTTATTGGCATATTTAGTCTGTGAGTTTAAGACAACACACAGGACCACACACACATAAGTGCCCTCTTGGCATGTGGTGCCAGGGAAACCAGCGGCCCTTAGATGAACCAGATTTGTCTCAGGCTAACATTTCTTTGAACTAGTCTGGTTGCTGGTGTCTAAAACTGACTCCCATGTTTACTTTTATTTCAAGCCTATGTATACGTTTACTTCCAGTAACTATTGTTTTAAGTCCCACTTTGTCTACTGGGACTTCTGATCTTCGTATTTTCTGCTCTCTGCCTGAGTTCTGTTAGTACTATCACTCAGCAATGCGGGCACAGGCTGTATCCTCATGGTTTCAGCGTCATAGCCCATCTGGTGCACGTCTGGCATCTCCAATATATTCTGAGTGATTATCTGCATTACAAAGCTGTTCTTCACTTTAAAAGAATTGATATAATTTTTAAAAGATATATTGCTCAAAAAAAAAGATATTGCTCTAGAGCATTTAATACATAGTTTTACTTCAATTTAAA